AGGAGTGGGGCACAGACTGTGTAGCAAATAGCTACTGTTCTAGTGCACTGGAGATCTGGCCACAGATAAATAATACAAAGGCAGCTGAAAAGCCAAAGTAGGTAGCACCCAGGTCTTGTATCACTGAATGCAGTGATACACAGTCTCAGCTATCAAAGCCTTTTGCCTATCCAGCTCCCTTTAAAATATGAATCAGATCACATCACATTCCTCTGCTGAAAATTTTCCAGTGACTCCAACTGCTTTAAGATATAAACTGTCTCTGGGATTGCTCAGCGACTAGGAGTTGTCATTGCCAGGGAACGGCCTAGGGAGGGGTATGGAGGCTTTGTACAGAGTGTTGCTGAAGTGGCGGAGGAAGGCAAGACAGGCAGATACCAACAAGATAAAAAGAGTCCTGGGTTTGGAGCTGCGAAGTGAACGTGTGGGAGTGAGACAGCAGAAAACATTCAAGGCTGAGCTTGGGCATGAATGTTCTGGGTGAGACAAGGTTTAGGGCAGGAACATTTAAGGACTTCCCAAAGTGACATACTTTGAGACACAGAGATGAATGTCTTCTCTGTTTGAATGGTACCACCTCCCACCTCCCACCTGTTACCAAACCTGAAACATGGAGTTACCATCAAGTTTAGTCTTTTTTCCTTTTCCTTTTCCTTCATCACATTTTTTCCAGTTGTATTTATTAATGTATCTTGATCAAAATGGCCTTGGTTGAGAACCTCAAAATTGCTTAGGGTGTTTAGTCTCAGTCCAGACAGCCCCACCCATTTGCCCCCCTCTCCTTAAAATTCAAACTGGAGCATGGCACTTCCAGGCTTCCGTCATTCTCATTCCGTTTTCCCCTTGCCTTAAGATACAAATTCCTTAGCAAGGCAGGCAAGGTCCTTTGATCTGGTCACTGCTTACCTCTGTAGTCATGTAGTTCACTGTGATTATAGGTCTTTGGAAAGACCTTTCTCCCCTTCTGCTGGATCTTACTTTTTCAGGATTGCTCATATTTACAGAGACCTGAGAACCCTGTTTCCTTCCCTGGAGTATGCTAGCTCCCTGCATACTCCTGACTTGGGATGTATCATGCATTTCCTCCTTTGGTTTGAAAGCTCTACATAGGAAATACCATTTATTTCATCTATAAACTTTGGGACCTACTGTTTGGCTGGAGTATATGCTCAGTGGATATTATTGAATAAAGAACAAGTGAAGGTTGAAATCACCTTAGGAGTTGGGGTGGAGGACTGAATCAGAGGCCAAAGTCTGGGATGAATGTGCAAGTTTAATAGTTCTGTTTTCCGGGCCCAGCCATTGACACCCTCTCTTAGGGAGACTGCCTTGTTTACCAGTGAGCTGTCCTGCAATTCCCATCCTTACCCTCATTCCTGTGCAAATGATTAATTCCAGTGACTTGTCATGAAAAAAAAAAAAATGAGCTGGGTTAATCAGATTTTCCTCCTGGGATCTGGGGATTGGGAGATATATTAAAAGTGGGAAGCTACAGAAGCATAGGTTAAAAGGATACATCAAGAAATATATAGCAGAAGTTGCACAGTGGCTCTTGTTTTTATAACCTGTGACATTTTGGGATTCTCACCCTATCCCACTTTTAATATTTCTTCTTTTTTAAAATCCTCACCAGAGGATATATTTTTGTTGATTTTAGATAGGGAGAGTGAGAATGAAAGAGAGAGAGACATCAATTGGTTGCCTCCTATACACACCTTTACTGGGGATTGAACATGAAACCTGGGCACACGCCCTGACCGAATCAAATCTGCAACCTTTTGGCGTACGGGATGGTGCTTCAACCAACTGAGCCACCCAGCCAGGATACTATTTCTTAATTTAGGACATTATATTACCATCGACACCCTATAATGCTTGCTTTACCATGGGGGCAGAGAAAAAAACTGTGACATTGCTATCATTTAATGGGTTTATATAAATTTAGCCATCCATAGAAAAATGTTTGATAATTAGCTTAGTTATTTGCACTGATGGTGTCATGCAGTTGAATTTTATTTTATTTTTTTCTTTATTGATTAAGGTATTACATATGTGTCCTTATCCCTCCAATTTCCTCCCACCCCCTCTAGGGTCTGTGTCCATTGGTTATGTTTATATGCATTGCTTACAAGTCCTTTTTGGTTGATCTCTCCCTCTTCCCCACACCCTCCCCTGCTTTCCTAAAGAGGTTTGACGGTCTGATCAATGCTTCTCTGTCTCAGGATCTGCTTTTGTTCATCAGTTTATGTTGTTCATTATATTCCACAAATGAGTGAAATCATGCAATATTTATCTTTCTCTGACTTACTGGCAGTTGAATTTTATTATATATATATATTTTATTGATTTTTTTACAGAGAGGAAGGGAGAGAGATAGAGTTAGAAACATCGATGAGAGAGTCATTGATCAGCTGCCTCTTGCACGCCCCTTACTGGGGATGTGTCTGCAACCAAGATACATGCCCTTGACCAGAGTCAAACCCGGGACCCTTCAGTCCACAGGCCAACACTCTATCCGCTGAGCCAAACTGGTTTCAGCGGAATTTTAATTTGAATCTCAAAGTGTCACTATAGGCATCTTCCAAAAGGTTACACCGTGTTGAAGCATTTAAACAATCAAGTTTTGTATATACAGATTATGCATCAAGAATGCAATTAAATGTTGAGATGCCCAACTCTATTTCTAAATTTGACATAGAAGTTACAAATCTAGAAGAGGTTGGCTTGATTAAAGTGTCTGAGGACACAACTTTTGACTGTCAATAGTTTCTAGTTATCAAGAGAAGCTGTGTGAATTCCAGGAATATACAATTCAATTAAAAAAGAGAAACCAAGCTTAGTACCAAAGAAGGCACATTTATAAAGCTTGTATATTCTATGAAATGTCTCAAAATTATACAGTTAATTCTTAAAAGTACTAAAGAGAACAAGATATAACCATAGGTTATGAAAAGCAACAAACCATCATGCTATAAAGTTAGCCAGACGGTCAAAGGGCTATATGAGACTTCAGGCAGAAGTGAGAAGGCTTAAACTTAATCACTGATTATAACACAGAGGAAAAAAGTGATGCAGGTCTAGTTGGACCCAACGAGACCAATGAAATCGCCAATGCCAACTTCCGGCAGCAGATTCCGAAGCTGATCCAAGATGGGCTGATTGTCCAGAAGCCTGTGACTGTCCTTTCCTGGGCACGATGCCCCAAATCACTCTGGCCCACAGGAAGGGCAGGCATATGGGCACAGGTAAGCAGGAAGGTATTGCCCATGCTCGAATGCCTGAGAAGGAACCTGGGTGGAGAGGATGAGAACTCTTTGCTGGCTGCTCAGAAGATTGACCGCCACATGTACCACAGGCTGTACCTGAAAGTGAAAGGTAACGTGTTCAAAACCAAGCGGATTCTCCTGGAACACAGCCACAGGCTGAAGGCAGACAGGCTCGCTAGAAGCTTCCAGCTGACCAGGCCGAGGCCTGCAGGCCTGAGACCAAGGAGGCCCCCAGGCGCTGTGAAGAGCGGCTCCAGGCCAAGAAGGAGGAGATAGATCACCAGGACTCTGTCCACGGAGGAAGAGACCAAGGGATAAAGCTCCCCCTCTCTTCCCTGGACAGAGTGGCCTTGGCAAGTACATGGTTCAGTCCATTTAATAAAAGTAACCTTCACCTAAAAAAACAAAATGAAACGAAACAAAAATGAAAAAAAGTGGTACAATTATGGCAATAGTCAGCATTTATTGAATGAGTACTATGTGGCACTGTGTTAAGTACCTTTAGAGGTGGTATCTCTTTCAACCTCAGGACAATTCTGTTGGATCAGTGGTGCTTATCTTCATTTTAGTGAGAAAGCTAGGAGCAACTGTGCTGTTACAACACCCTACGCGTCCATTTTTATGGACACGCCTATACTTTTTGGGTTGGGTTTAAAGAGTATACATTTAAATACAATCTATCTGTGGTGCAGGTGTTACAAGTTGGAGTAAGGGAAAGCCTCACTTTCAGAACCCTCTCACCTCAGAGCTGGAGAAGGCCACGGAGAGAAAGGCTGGTAAGGAGGCATGTCTCCGGTGGTTTTGAAAACCCTGAACGCCCTTCCACCCGTACCTGCCTCAATCCTTTTGGTCTTTCGATGCACACTCTAAACACCAGCTCCTTCAGAAGGTAGTCTCTGGTTACATAAAAAGATATACATATGGGAGATATTACTAAATTAATTAAACAACCAAGCCAAGAATTGAAAGACGGATTTTAATCATTAACTTTTACCCTCGCTCCTTTCCTGGCCTCAGTTTCTTTCAACTAAAAGGAATCGGTGGCTTAGCCTGCAGCTTTCTTTTACCGTTGCTCCTAACCTCTCCAGATTTCTGCCAAAGCTGCCTTAAAAAGCAACCCTCCTTGCTGAGACTTGCAGGAGGCCGCTCCTCGGCGTTGGCAGCTCAGCAGGGCGGGGCCGGAGGAGGCCGAGAAGGGGCGGGGGCTCCGAGGGAAGCGCAGCGCGAGCGCTCACGTGACTTCCTTCCCAAGGAGCCTCCTCAGCTGCCAGCCTCCCAGCAACCGGTGCGTCCGCCTAGCGACGCCTGCGCATCCCGGTTGGCCCCTGGGAACGCGTGTGGCCAGCGAGCACCCACGGTCGCTCCGCTCATTGGCTGGGGCTCCCGTCGCTCCGGTGCGTTGCCAGAGCGCCCGCGGGCGGTGCTGCCGGAAGCCCCTCCCATTGGCCGCTGGGTTTGTGGCTGGCTGGCCGGGGCTGTCACTCCCGGGCCGTTTCCCTGAGGCCGGCGCTCGGCTGGGGGTGGGAGGAAGAGGGGCCGGACTGGGGCCTGACTGAGTCGCCGCCGCCGCCGCTGCCTTCGCGGCTGCTATGACCCTCCGGCGAGGCGCCCTGCTCAGCTCCGCGCAGCGCTAGTGCGCCCGCCGCAGCCGTCTGGGTCCCCAGCGCCGCCGCTCCCGCGGCTTCTTAGGCTCCTCCGGCGCCGCCGGCCGGGCGAGGCGGAGGCAGAGGCAGG